TAGTCAAATATTAATATCCTTACTTAATTCTTTACTGGCAGCCAAAAAGGAGTACATTGTTTAAAAATTGCACTATCTAGGCCAGGCGTGGTGTCTCACACTTGTAATCCTAGCAATTTGGGAGGCCAAGGTGGGCGGATCACCTGAGGTCAGGAGTTCGAGACCAGCCTGGCCAACATGGCGAAACCCCATGTCTACTAAAAAATTACAAAAATTAGCTGGATGTGGTGGTACATGCCTGTAATCCCAGCTACTCAGGAGGCTGAGGCAGGAGAATCACTTGAACTCAGGAAGCAGAGATTGCAGTGAGCCAACATTGCGCCACTGTACTCCAGCCTCAGTGACAGAGTGAGACTGTCTCAAAAATAAAAAATAAAAATCTCACAATCTAGTGAGAGAAGAAAAAATGTTAAAAAAATACAACATATTTTAGGGGAAATATTATAGGGCTGTGTATAAAATACTAATGGGAAAGGCTTTCTAGACAAAGGTGTATTTAAACTGGATCAAGAGGGATGAGCTGTTTTCCAGGCAGAGAGATGTAAAGGCAAGATGTCAAGGCAGCATTTAGCTGAGGCACAGGGGTATTTATGTGGGGCTGGCGGGAGGAGTTGGGGATGATTTAGTTTGATTAGATCCTTCAGGGCCTTATGCATTACGTTAAGCACCAGGAACCTGGTCCTGTGGGGAACAGAAGGTATCATCAACTGTCCTTGGATACTGTGGCACAAAGGGTCCACCTTCCTTCACTTTCTCCCAGTTTTCCTCAATTTTTTTCTCTCACCTTTGCTTGTTTTCGACTTTTCCAGTTCATTCATTATATATTTTAATCACTGATCCCAGCAATTATTTTTAGAATATAAGTTTTCAAAGATATTCTATGACTACTGCATAATTCCATGTGATACCGGACACGGCTTCAAAAAGCACAGAGGTCGGGGTCAGGGACTGCCTCCTAAGAGTCTTCTATGACGGACAGTTCTCTGGACTGCAGCAGCTGTCCTGAGCTTTGTTCCCCAACCATGAACCACTGACTTCTGCTGGGTAGAGATGGGTGTCAGCACCCAGCCTCTGCTTGACCCACTGTGGCAGGGTGCAGTCGCCTGGCGTTCTCTGCCACTGTCTTCCCAGATGCTGTAACTGAACAGCAGGAAACAGAAACCATCAGTGTTAGAGAGAAAATGAGCAAAGTGTGAAGAAGATGCAAGGTGAGAGACGGTTTGGTTCTCGAATTAATGCAGCCTGGTGGTAAAGCAGTGCTTTGCATGGATGGGTGCTGAGCAAGTGTTTGCCGCTATGCACTTGGTCTGCCTTTTGGTTTAAAAACAAGGAGCGAAGGAAAAGCAACTCTCAGGTGATAGAGCCTTTCAGAAATATGTTTGCATGATTCAGGTCCTGAAACCATGTCTGTTGGCTTGGGATTTGTGAGCACCTGGCAAACACCTTGCTTAAACAGCCACGGTGGTGGAAGGGGCTCCAGCCTAAGCCGGATGCTGCCCACGCTCCATTCCTTTCATTGAGGAATACGTCCTGCAAGAAGTTGCGCTAAGATCTGCCTTGCCCCATGTTGTGAGTCTCCGCCAGGCAGAGGCACGCTTCCCTCTCTGCTCCTTACTTTCTTGACAGCTTCTTTCATTTTCTGTAACTTTTTTAGGTAGTCAGGGGCTCTTTAACTCCAAGTTTCCCACTCAATCTGGAGAATTCTGACCATATAGCAACGCTATGCAGACGTAGGGTGAGTTAACAAATGCATATGATGTAGTATCAGTCACCTAGCTTTGGACTGTAAAATTACTGAAATCTGTAATGAAGGATGGTCAAAGGAGATCAAAGGCAATGCAACAGTCAATTTTGGTCTTCAACAGAAATAGGATGTAGAGATAGCATTAAGAATTCTGTCAAATCTGTAGTTTGCAAGTCATTAGTCTCAGTATTTAGCCTGTGAATAATCTTAACCAAGTCAATTAACCTTCTTGGGCCTCACTTTTCATAGCTACAAAATAGAGTGAATCATAATGCCACTTGTGGACCATAACAGGGTCCTGGAATGGCAGGATGGGGGTTTGCAGCAGGGAGCAAATATGACTCTCACTTTGTAAATTTTCAAGTGCTGTATCTTGTCATTGAAACAGCTAAGTGAGAGCTGGGAATAGATGTTCAGGGATAGCATTGGAACACAGAGGCTTCAGGAAAAAATGCCTCTTTCCCTGTGTTCGCACATAGGAAGTATGGGAGGTCCTGATGACTTCCTCCTGGAGACAATTTCCTCACCTTCCCACATCTCAAAATGTTCAGTGAACATTGTTGGATCTAGATGTTGCCAACCCTGTATGGAAGGTTAATGGACTATTATTTAATATATGCTCTTCCAATATCTTTTTTCGTCTCCATATTTCAAATAATAACCGGGGTTTTTGCAGAGTGGAGAGCAGAAGCAAATGGAGGTCACAACTACCTCTAGTCTGTTTTGTTTTTATTTTTAAGCCTAATCTCATTGGAGAGCAAAAGAAGGAAGGAAGGAGAGAGGAGGAGGAGAGTGGGTTGATAATTAGGAAAAGGAGAGTACTGCTTTTTTGTAGTAATTTCAGTAGGTATGTCTTAGTCTCCTTAGACTTCTATAAGAAAATACCATAAAGTGGGTGGCTTATAAACAACACACATATACTTCTGACAGTCTAGAGGCTGGGAAGTCCAACATTAAGGTTCTGGCAGATTTGGTGTCTGGTGAGGACCTGCTTTCATTTTCACAGATGGCACCTTCTAGCTGAGTCCTCACATGGTGGCTGGGTTGAACAAGGTCCCAGGCCTCTTTTATAAGGGCACTGATCCCATTCATGAGGACTCTGCCTTCATAACCTAATTATCTCCCAAAAGGCCCCATCTCCTAATAGCATCACCTAGGGGTTAGCATTTCAACACAGGCATTCAGACCACAGCAACGTGTAATAAAACACCGGAAGGATAGGCTCTTTTGATGCACACTCTGTGTCAAAGCAGGGCCCCAAACCAGCATATATTCCTGGTACACCACGTGTGGCCAGGAAGCTAAGAGCTGAGGGACTGTAAGGAGCCTCTGCTGAAACCACACAGAGGTCTGATACTCAGATTATGTTGGAAATAAGATAATTTTTACGTTGGGAGAGGAGCTGTGCCACTAATGACAGATAGAAATTCCCAATAGTGTGACTGGCTGGAGCCCTGAGTCCAGATTGTTTTAAAGGAAATAAAGAAAGTAGTATTTCCTGGGTGCACAAATTCAATATTTATACCCATAGCACTGAGTTTGACCTTGAGTATTTGGAGCTGTTGGAGTAGCTGAGTGGGATGTAGTACCCAAATCAGAAGGATGGGAAAACCCAGGTATGATTCCACTGACACAAGGTTGTCCTCGCCTTGGAGGGTTGGTGGTACTCTCTAGCAACAGGGAATGTTTTTGGTTTTGGTTTGTTTTTTGGTGGAATGTTGCTGTTGTGGGTCCAAAGCCGTGTCCTGAGGAAAGGTTTCCAGGTCAGTGATTTTAATGTGAGTTCAGGTCCAACACCACCCAAATCAGCCTAAATCAGCAAGTATGGCAAGTCGGGAAAAGAAGGGAGTTGCTTCCTTAGTTCCATAGTCTCACTTTGGGGTCATGGCTTTGGGGAAGAGAGCTTGATTTTAAAACAGTTATTCCCAGGAAGGCACAAATTTGGCAGCTTTGGGCTATCAGGACTGTTGTGGCAGGAGAAATGGTGGAGAGGCTAAGCATAGATACTCTGTTTAATTACCCTTATTCTGCTGGCATGGTTTGGAGATTATCAGGGGATTAAATTTATGCTGATTTCTTTGCTCTCATTATCATGACAAATGGATTGTTTTGTCATTTAGAAAAAAGTAGAATTTGTGAGGAATAAGCAGAGTTTTTAATTAGCAAAGAGATAGGAAACTCTAAACTCTTTATCCAGGATCTTAGTAAGCTCAAAAACAACAAAGTTCTTAGTATCAAGTTAAAAACTCTTTAATATCTCAAAATATCTTATCAGATTGAATTATATCCAGTATCAATTTGGTGGCTATATTCAACACATATTAAGAACCTACTGTGAACCAGGCATAGTTTTAAGTGCTAGTGATACATTGGTAAGCAAAGAGCTTGCTCTCACGGAGCTGTGGTCTGGTGGGAGAGACAGACAACAAAAACAGCTGCATATATAAATCTGTGAGAAACGTTATCAAGAAAATGGAGCAGGGTTATGAGAATAAAGCTACAGAATGGGGGAGCTCTCACACAGGATGGTTAGCAATGGCTCTGCGGCTCCAGGCCCTACCTACTCTCTCACTTTTCCTCAGTTTCTCCGGATGTCTCAAGCTCATTTATGCCTCAAGATCTTTGCCAATGTTTCCTGTCTGGATTCCCTTCTTCTTCCTATCAACTTTTCCCCTAGTTACTTCTTACAATCCTTCAGAACTCAGATGCAAATCACTTTCTCAAGGCCTCAAGGAAGCCTTCCCTGGCCCTCTGGAATAGATCGAGTTCAGGTTCCTGCTTATTCACCCCACTGAGCTCCTTCATTGTACGGATCACATATATAATTATATGAATATTGAATTGTTTAATGCCTTTGTCCCCTCCAGACTGTAAGCTCCATGAAAGCAAATACGGTGTCTCATTAACTTATTGGTGAATCCTTAAAACTTTGTAGTTTGCAGAGTAGGTAACCGACAAATAATTGTCAAGTGTCTGAATAATTTTCAGTATCCCAGAATATTCAATTAAGTATGGAAGGCCCTTTCCAAAGCTTGCTTAGAAAATACCGTGCTTAAAATTATAGGCCATCTAAGTAATTTTGGTAATTTTAATGTAGCAAAATAACTCAAGTTGGCTTCATTTGGTTATGAATATCAGTACTAACTTACGATGTCACTATTCTCCTTTCATTTCAATCACGTTCAGTATCCTAAGAAACGTGCTGATTGAACTATAAAATGAATAATTTTTTATTTGTAAAATATTGAGTCATAAATAGGCAGAATCAACCCATGCTTTTATTTTCATTGCATATAAAAATTTCATATGAAGGTATTGATGTACAGTACTATCCCCGTGGGCTGTAAGAGAGGCTAAGAAACCACTAAAAGAATCATTTGTAATTCTCACACACAATTTACCACTCTGAAAACATATCCAAAGAAATAAAAACAACTCAAATCAGTTAAGGATGTTTTTGTAATTATAGTGTCCCCTTTGTACTGTTTAAAACAAAAGTAATCAAATTTCTTTGGGCCAGGGCTGCTAAAATCTACAGTTTGTGTCAAAAAATAAAATAAAATAAAATAGGAGGCTCATTTTTCCCAGAAAAAGAATCTTTCCTTTCACTGAAAAGCCACGTGATTCAAGGGCTGGGCAAGTAGTGGGAGGACATTTCCATATTATCCATTATAAATGTTTCCTGCTTTAGGGGCTGGCCATTGTACAAGGTTAAATTTTAAAATTCTAAACAATGAAAGTTTTGCAGACACAAATCTTAGAGGATGGTGAATGCTTTCTGCTATGTAAACTGACATCAGACACAACTTTGTGTTTAAATAGATGGGTTTACATGTATGTAAGGACATTTGGTTTATCTTAGTGGAAGAAAAATTTTAGGATTAAAAAATGGTATTTTCTCTTTAATATATTCTCTTAACATGACAGGAAGCTAATGAATAGATAACCAACACAAGTAAACTCTGGCTCCAATTTCAAATCAAGTTCATTTTCCTATGAGCTCTAGAAGCTAAAAAGACTTTTTAAAAAAAGATTGTTTATAATCACTGGGAAAGAATGTATTTCCCCAGTTGTGTTTCCGAGTTTTTTTTAAAAAAAGGAAATAATCAAATGCAAGTAGCTGAAGTAGCTCCTGATCAACAGATGGCAAACAATCATCACACATGCAGTGCTACTCCCTGGCAAGAAGTACTTAAGAGCTTATGTCTCAAAAGGGTCTCAGAATCTTTCAGAGGTTGTCTGTGGTTTTGTAAAATCTACCTATTGGCAGAATTCTAATCAATTAAAAGCCTGGATGTAAAATGCCCAGCCCTAGCTCCACCATTACCTTTCAAATGCAGCAAAACAGAAGAAAATATTGATTAAAGTTAAGGCACAGCCCTGGGACCAAAGACCTGCAGCTATGGTTTTTAAAATTTATATATCTTTAAGTATTTTATAGTTTTCTTGAATCTTCCATAAACAAGCTCTAAGGTGACAAGACTATATTACAGGAGAAAAGAAAAATGTACAGAGTATGTATACACACCATTCATTCTCTCACCAAGAGTTTCCAAATATATCAACACCATCCCATCATGGGATGATGTTTTAATAAGAACTGATAATTTACAATTAACATTACAGTATGTACATTGCAATAAATACATGGTTGTAAACAGACAAACAAGACTGTATTACAGGTAAGGTCATTTGGTGAGAAAAAAATGCATGGCACAAAAAATAAATAATGCATTCAAAAATTATCATAAAGCTTTCTGTAAAATCCATTTCATTCAAGTTTTTTCTTTCCTTGTCTATAATTTGTTCTATCTACATTATTGTGAATTTTAACCAATATAAAAGAAGACAAAATTAAAACAGCATTATTGTGTTCAGTAACTTGCAAGCTGAAATGCACTGGTTTTACACAAACTTGGACATATTTTTCCCCATACAGTACCCAGATATTGCATTTTCTTATGGCATTTTAGGAAATGTAAAGCCACTTGTAAAAGGATATTCTTTTTTAAAGCAGTGTGTATTTCTGAAGCACACTTTGGCAAGAGAGAAGGGCAAGGGTAAGCAGATTGTACAGTGCATTAGTCCCTGTCTCTTGGATATTGAGCCTTTTCTGCAATTTGATTGTCTGTTAGTGGGTATCTTTACAACGTGGTACCATTAAAAACCAACAAACTGGAAAAAAAAGCCTCTCTTTATTAGTGCAGTTATAAACCCTTTACCCTTTCAGGTCTGGATTTGTTAAGTGACATATTGCTGCTTTTTATTTTATTCATTATTAAAATTCTAGGCACTCTGTGGGGGAAATACTAAGTGTAGGTAGGACAGGAATGAGAATGTTTTGGAAAGAAGAATAAATTCTAGACTCTTTGCCTTTCTTTCTAGACCTCACTCAGGGACAAATAAAATTAAAAGGAAACAAGTTCCCAAATGTTCTTGTGAAACTACTTGGTCAAATATATGTCTTTATTTGAAAGATCACCATCTGATCTTTACAGAGGAAAGAGAGTAGAAACCTTGCAATTAACTAGTTGATTCCTATTCTGCCTTATGTAAAAGAACAGAGTTATAAAGACATAATTTTTATTTCAAAGGATCTAAGCATCAGCCAGATCTCAGGGGACTGTCTTCAGCTTGAGTCATTTCCCTGGCTGATGACTTAGTTTCCAGTCCCTGGAAGGCTCCTTGAGAAGTTCCAAATAGAAATGCTTTTCAGGGTTGTAATTCTTCTTAAATGTTTGATTTTCCACTTGTCAGATACCCACTTTGGCCTCTATCTCAATTCTTGAATATCAACGTGAAAAATGATTATTTGGGCTTTAAAGTCTTCAGAGAGAAGGTAAAGACTTTATTACAAAGACTGACATAGGAATAAAGTCAGAATTAAATGCCCCATGATGCCAACTGCTATAATCAGGTAAACACTGGGAATTAATTTCTAAAACTGTAATACAGTTCCTGGTGATGAAGTCAGCCAAGAGTGAGCTCTAATTTTTTATTTAAGCAGAATTTTTACCAATCTAATATTTTAGGATGCATCACAGTACTAACCCTTTGGTGCCAGTGGCATCATCTTCTTTCCCTCCATGTGTTTCAAGAAGTAGTTCCTCTCTGCAAGATATGCTTATAGATCGAGGATAAGTGATAAAGCAATTCCTGCATGTTATGTGGCTGTCCATTAAGGAAGAGTAGTTGCTATACTTAAAACCATTTCTCAGGTATGTTCCTGATATAGTTCTTAATCCCATAGTGAAATCATTAAAACCAAAGAGGATTAGTTATTGTACTGGTGTTTGTTAATATGTTGTTAATATTCTTAAAAACTGCCTAGTTAGCTGTTTAACTTTTCTCTGTAAACCAAGAGTAAAATCTAGTCATGATATACAACCTCATGGTTGAAATGAATGTTAACCCTAACTTGACTACCTGTTTCTTTTCACTGGTGACAATGGTAGTGATATATTTGACAAGACCTCATCTAGCAAACATGGATAGAGGTTCAAACACACACTAAATTATAAAGCAGCACGAGGTGAAAAACCTTTTTCTTACTATAACTGGCTGTAAAAACAATAAAAATGAGCATGAAATGTGCAGATTATTAGAAAGATATGCACTTGTGAAATGCATGTCTATTGACACAGCAAAACGTTATCAGGAGATACTAAGTAGGAAAACATCTCAAAAACACTGACCAGTTTAGCTACTGGGTATTTATATATCTCCCACTTGCTTCAGACAACACCAGCTGATGACTGAATTCGCATGAAGCTTAAGACATATTTGATATAACACACATTAAAGTATTATAGAACAATTAGTCACTTTGCACACTGAAGAAAAACACTGGTGAAGAGCAACTCTTATCTGGAAAGAGTGAAACAAAATGCAAAGTAAATAATGAAGACTTACTTACAAAAAGGGTTTCCTGCAACATAAAGTTGTTTTTCTGTTGTTTTAAAATATGGAAGTCATTGGTATATAAAACAATGAATCACTACAAATCAGTTAATTGCTATGAACTATAAGGTGCAAGTAAAATTTGTAAATTAGATTTTTATCCAGTGTAGCACAGATTTGTACTGAAAACTTGCAAGTTACTCTTTAGAAAAAAATAACCAGTGGTAGATGAAGTTCTGAACATAGTTTTTTAAATATAATACCTCAATACATTTAATAATAAAAGTAAGCTCTACAAAAAATCTGTTTTACATATCATACAAAATGTAGAGGTCAGTGCAGCTCACTGAACCACACTATTCAGTCATGTATCAGGAAGACTTGACTTGAAATTAGAAAATTATGCAATTTCTGTGGCTCATCCTCCTCCTACTGGTAACAGATGCGTGCTATGTCCTGTTCTTGACATATTTGTTGCTTCGTCCATTAAGTTCACTCTGTGCAATGCCTTTCTTCTGAAAATATTGCAAACAAATAAAAAGAATAGAAACCCCAAGTCCAATCAACTTTTGGGCCGCCTGATGAGCCACACTCTCTTGAAAACAATTTGGAGTAGATTTTATCTGCCTTGTCAGCTCTACCAAGCTGAAATCTTGTTAAAAACGCTGTTCATGAAGATGTCCACCTTGCTCTGATGACATGGAGGTGAAAAAACTGGTTACGATATTCCTGAGCGCCGGACTGAGTAGTCAAGGTCAGTTTTGTTCAATAAACGTCCTGGCAGATGACAGTGAGGTGTGACCGTGGTTGTGGCATGTGACATGCACTTTGGAAACAATTTTTCTGCTAAAAAAAAAAAAAAGGCATGAAAGTTTTTGCACTGTTACGTGTCAGGAGAACGATCATCTATGACACAGGCTTCAGACTGGCTTTCCTCTTCTTCCCCTACTGCCTCCTCTTCAACCTGTTCATCGAGGGGAATTTCAGTAGACTCCGAGTCTTGAGTACAAAGAGTCTTGGAGTCACTGCAACTAGTGTCTTCTTCCACTTGACTGCCACTGTCCTTTTCTGTGTCTGACTCACCATCTTCCTCTAAAGTTAGTTCAAACTGGAATTTCTCAGTTTGACCCTGCCGGCCCTCTTCTGGGTCATCAGGTGCAGGAGAGGGGCTCTGAGGGATTGTGCTCTGGTACCATTCACGATTGTCCTCCAAAGTGTCCAAAATGTCCTGGGCGTCAGGGTGGACGAGGTCTGCCCATGTCTCCCAGAGGGGATGAACAATATAGTCTATGAAGCCCACCTAGTTAAGAAAAAAATCCAGTATGAGTAAAGGACTTGGGACTAAGAAACAGTGGAAAAGCTTAACTAGATCATGGCCCACAAATAAAATTCTGAACAGAAGACTACTAAATTTAGTTTGGTAAAATTATCACTATTTTCGACAACAGACCATACAAAGTATTGTTACTAGCTGGTCAAAATTAGCTTCTAGAACCCTTGGTTAAAGAGCATGTTCACAGCATAAAAAATTTTCCAGTTGTTGACATGGTAGGGCTTATTTTGGAATCACTAATTTGTAGGTGAATCCAGATAACTGTAATAATACCATATGCTCTATGTATATGAATATATTAAATGAATATAGTCATAATAAACGAATATCTTCTTAGAATATCTATATGACTATATGAATGTAAGTCATAAGAATGAAAGTGTTTTGGATCATAAATACTAAGGTGAAATTGAGCTTGTCAAAAACAAAGTAATTTTAAAAATCCAGTAAAATGCTATCATATGTAATACAAAGTAACCAAATGCTAAAGCGGTAGCTCTGTTATCCCTGAAAACTGTACACTTCATGCATTACCTGTGATTTTTCCACGGAAGCATTGTGCTTGTCACACATGGGGCTTATCTCCATGCCACGTTCCCTCTCTCGGTCTCCTTGGCGGAAGAACTCCTCCATTATCCGGTCTGTCCACTGGCGGTACAGTTGGAGAGGCTTTGTTGGGTTGCTCAGATCTGCACAATGCACCATATTCTGAAGAACCTAAAATAGATGGATGCATTCTCTATTCACTCCTGTTCCTTTTCAAAAAAAAAAAAAATCTAGATATTCACATTGGATGACTGCGACACTTAAAAATACACATGGTGTAAGATTTATTCCAAACAGCTCAACCATGATGTGTCTATGTATGGTTCACACTTGTATTAATAGTTCCAAATTATGCCACTTCTACTGCATCTAAATAGCATAAGAGAAACTGTTTATGTGCATGGTTGACTAGATTCAGAGCTGCTTAATTGGCTGGTTCTGTGGAGTGTTAGTTTTTTAAATTAATGTAGATGCAAATGAAAAGGCCAGTAGAATTTTGCCTGGTTAATTCTCAGGAATAAAAATTTGGATAAAAATCCTGCCTATAATTGCTGAAAGTATAAGGTGGGAGAAAGAAGAAATACATCTTATCAAAGCTGAACACACAGTCATGTGCATATGTGTGTGTGTGTGCGCGTGTGCACACACACACACACACACACAGAGAGCAAACTCTATTAAGGTTTTACCTGAATCCTATCGGAATAATTATCAAGAAGAAGAACTCCAGAGCTTGTCACTTTCTTAGTTTCAACCATAGTCTTCAAATCAGCTAGTAGATTCATGTGTTTTGACATATCTGTTGCAAGTACCTTAAAATACAAAGGGTATATTATTGAGTACAGTTCAGAGAAAACAATTTACACATGAAAATATTATGCAGAATATGAGAATGAAAAAGGAACAAAACAACACTATGCCTTTTAATGACAGTAGAAATTCCTTACTCCTTCTTGGGGGCAGAGTCCTTTCCCCTTTGCTATCAAGTTTTCCTAAAGCCCAGATAAATGTGTGTAATATACAGAAATGCTAGGTACTGACAACCACTTTCATGGTCAAAAATGGGATGACATCTCCATGGATAAGACATCATCACACGTTTTCAAGTTTTTTCCATTGCTTGGACCAGAAAGTAGTTGCTAGACTATGATGAACTGATTCAAGGTTGCTTAAAGACTGCTTCAGAAACAAAATATTCTGGTTAATTTTCTTTTAAAAGACAGATCATTCTTGCCTTTGTAGGTACAAAATTTAACAGAGTAGGTTTTTGAAAGCTAGAGATTTTCCTGTGTCTCATAATCACTGAATAAGATGCATAGAAAAAAGAGTAAAGTCATGGATGTTCTAAATGGCACTGTCTACTGATGAGAAAAGGTGGAAAAAAAATCCATTTGAGCTGTGGCCCACACAATCTTCTTTTGTTAGTCATCTTTCTCTGCCTGCCACCGGACTGGAGGGGCCCAGAAAATAAATGATGAGGGTGAGCTGACATTATTCTCAAGTCCAAACTGCTAGAAGTGAAAAACCTATTACAGAACATCACAGCCAGCATCATGGGCAGCTTCTATAATATAAAGGGCCATAATATGTTTTGAAATGCAGTTCCTTTTACTTAATACTCATCTTGTTCTTATGTCTAAATTATAAACAACTTGCATCACAGTTCTCTCTTTTTTTTTTTTGCTTTTATCAGCTACTTACAATGTCAATGACCATTTTCCTTAAAGATTGTCTTTGTTTTTTGGTCAAATTCTGGAAAATGTCACAGTTTTCTTCCTGAAGCAATTTAAAGCCCACAGCCAAATGATGGTTCTCTAAGACTGAGGAATCGTTGTACATCAAGGCAAGTTCAGAATCTGAAAAACAGACAAAAGGCCAAAGATCAGCAAAGCTGTTTGTGAGAAGTTTATCTGATTCTTTGAATTCTGGGTTTAGGATGTAATTTCCCCTAAACTTCTCTGCTGCCCTTATCATGTAATTTCCCCTGAACTTCTCTGCTGCCCTTATCATTACATGACAATATCCAGGAGAGAATAAATCGGATAACATAAGAGCAGGAACACTGGAATGAATCTTGGGGAGTGAATTCTAATGCTACTAACATGTGGCAGGCCATTTCACTCTGTAGGGCTCAGCTTCCTCTAATGCGAAAGAATTGGATCTTTAACTTCTCCTCTAGAGTTACCATGAGCTCAGTAGAATATGACATTCTTCTTAGTATCTATAACATATCCAAAGAATAAGGTTTTGTATTCCTGAAAACTGTGAATTATCTATGCTGCAATATATAAAGTGAGGATCACGTGATACAGGATTGTTTGTACTCAAAGAAGGTACAAGAACAATCATATGAACAAGTTTAGATTTGCTCATTTGCTCATGTATAGCTCTGAAAGTCTAAACTTTATTCATCGTTTTCCATTTTCTTTTCCAAGTATCGTGGCAGTCATTGTATACTGTACAGGGATATTGCTCTTCCTGCCTGCTTGCTCATAGCGTCACACAGAGATGTTGTGTTTGGCTGTCTGTATACCCTCTGGTGAAGATTCTGCCACTCTCTCCCTACTATCCTGGACCTGTGAATTTTAGGCAGGGAGAGACTCTGCCTCTCTCCGACTTCTTGTAAATAGCAGACCCAGATCTACAAGATAATCATTAAAAAACTTTTGATGCTTTATTCTCTTTCTATTCACTGCAAAGACTAAAAGCAAATCCGAGGCAGGAGTATTGCTTAAGCCCAGGAGTTCAAGACCAGCCTGGTCAACATAGGGTAGACCTCACCTCAACAAATAATAAAACATTATCTGCGGATGGTGGTGTGTGCTGGTAGTCCCAGCTACTTGGGATGTTGAGGTAGAAGGATTGCTTGAGCCCAGGAGTTCAAGGCTGCAGTGAGCCATTATATTGTGCCACTGCACTCCAAGTTAGGCGACAGAGCAAGACTCTATTTCAAAAGAAAAGAAAAGAAAAAGCCTAAAAGCACATGTATTTGATCTTTTTTCTGACGAATGCACAGAAAATATATTTGGAAATATATATCCTTTTCTAAGAAATACCCAATACTATTCAATGGCTCTTTTAATGGAGCTAGGAAGGAGAGGAGAGGCTTAAGACATTTTCAGCTGGGAAATTCTATTATTTTATTGGAACTATAGAAATACAAATTTGCACACTTAAATTTCTGCTCCCAAACTACAGGAACAGAGCTGTTTAGTAGGGAGTAGGTTTGTACATTTTTTTGTTTTGTTTTGTTTTCTTTAGATAAAACAATAGTGTTTATTTTTTAAAAGGCAGTTTCTGGTTAACTTTTACAGTGTCTATAAATGCCTTTATGAACCTTTATCTACAGACAGGTAAGCATATAGAAAAGAAAATTTTAAAACTCTATAGGATCTTAGCCCATATTATTGTATTTCTGCAGTAGAATCAAATAAACATATATTGAAAGGAAGTCATAATTATTAGATAATAATTATTAGAGTTCGTTTAAGGGAGGAAATATGCATGTAGACAAGGAGTGTTAACAGAATTGACTTACCCTTACAAAAACCCTAATTGGCTTATATGAAGCCGAAGGTGAAGGAAATTAAGACTATTGACCCTGCAGAAGAATATGATGATGAGCTGTTCCTTCAAGGAAAAGGGTGATCTGTTGTACGGAAGTTGCAACAAAGAGTCTGAGTTCCACTGGATATAAGTAGGGCCTAACACTTAAGAGTTCAGATTGGCCAGAAAAGCCAGGAAAGGATGCCTTAGTGGACTGGCAGGCCTCCACAGCCTCTTCCATCTCAGATGCTGTTACAGGAAAGTGGTGGTGACTGTTGATTTTTAAATGAACAAATGTTAGCATTTAAGAAACTGAATCTCAAGGAAGTTATTTAACTTTCTACTCTTCTTTAGGACTGAAGGCATATGGTCACATTTAAATTGGGAGGTAGGATTCTGCAGCTCCTCAGCAGATTTTCACCAAAGACACTAATCCATTACTTATAAGTGGAGTCCTTGAAGATTCAGGAATGATCAGAAAGTTGCTGTCATCTTTTGGTACAATGCACACAGCACAGAGGGGCAAAGAGGTTAGCTTATATAACATTTTTGTTGAAACCCTTTCATCTTCAAGCCCAATATGTCACCTCTTCCATCAAGTCTTTTTTAATTACCAGACAAAACTGCCCACTTTCTCCTATAATCTCCTATACTACTTTGTACCACCCATTTAGCATGTATCACATTCTACCTTTTTTGTCTTTATCTCTACAAATCTTTTAATTGTTTCCTCCCCAAACCCTCCCGGCCTACTTAGAGACTTAAGCCCCTACAAAATATTAAAGGTTATTAATTTAATATGTTTGGTTATCTGGCTTCCCCTAGGCACTTCAATTATTTCAAACTTACAAAGTACAAACAGGAATACAGTAAGGCACAACATTTAGAGGGTTTAGGTGTCATTGTGTTAAATGGTTTATCTGAATTCTCTCATTTAATCCTCATAACTCTTTTAGGAAGATACTATTTTTGTGACATTTTATGGCCATGTTCCATTCATGGATCGCATGGAGCCATATAGGTGGGAATCAAGTCTTTGTGTCCTTGGGATAGGCTGGGGGATAGAAAATGTCCCTTGGGGACATCTTTTATATACACAAATATTTACATAGACATACTCATATAATCCTGTACAAATGAAGAAAATGAACATCAGAAAAGGTAAGTAACTTTGCCAGCATCACTTAGCCAGTAAGTGCTGGGGTCAGCACTACCTTATACTGACTATGATTACAAGTAGTACCTTATAAATAGAGGTGAAAACTTGAGCAGTGAACACTAAACATGAACCAGGAAATCAATACAATCCACTCAGTGCCTGGCACACACTTATAAAGACAACTTTATAAGCATTTGTTATTTTTTGAGAGGCCACGCATACCTTTACAAACTCAAAGTCATCATTTTATTATATATAGAGCAATTGTGTTCATCTGTTACAACTACCCTGGATCATCAAGAATAAATTAAATTATGCTCAACATATGCTACTACTGAAGGCAGGAAGACCACTTTTATTTTGTGTCCCTCCCTTCTGAGTTCTAATGAAATGGGGGTAAGGGTGGGCAGGTACTACCACATAACTGAAAACATGTACTTCATCTGTCCTAGTCTTTTCTCCTTCTGTGTTAATCATGGTTCTCCAGAGAAACAGAACTAATAGACATATGTATGAGTGTGTGTGTGTGAGAGACATATTTATTTATTATAGGAATTGGCTCAGGCAATTATGGAGTCCAAGTCGTCCCACATCTGCAAAGGTGAACCAGGAGAACCAGGAAAGCAAGTCCAAAGGCCAGAGAATCAACCAGGAACCCTGATGTTAGAAGCAGGAGAATATGTATGTCCCAGGTCAGAGAAAGCAAATTGCCCTTCCCCTCAAGTTTTGTTTTGTTCTTCTCTTTGAGGTTCTCAATGGATTGACTGATCCCTGCCAACAATGGTAAGGACAATCTTCTTTAATCAGTCTACCAATTCAAATGCTAATCTCTTCCAGGAACACTCTCACAGACGCACCCCAAAATAGTGTTTTACCAGATATCTGGGCATCCCTTAGCCCAGTCAAGCTGATGCAGAAAATTAACCATTACAAATTCCGCCCCTTGTCACCCTGGTACCCATAAGCATCTCCTTTAACCATATTTAATCTCCATAAGGTCATAATTCTACCAAAATGCTATAACTATCCTGCATACAACCAAAAACACACTAACACATTCCCCAGAAGTGAAAGTAAAGTTTGAGTAATGTTTACTCTTATCCTGACATCCTATAACTTAAATACTATGATATAAAATAAATACTTAAATACTAATATAAAGTTAATACCTCTTATGTTATATAAATGAAGACATATGCTTAATATATGTATATATACATATAAATGCATTCATAAGAAAATACTCATGGCAATTATAGTCCTTATTGCTATAACTGGTCACATGGTCATAGCTGGTATTTATAATTACCTTCTTTTACTACTCATTCTGTATTCCCTTTGCCTTCAGCCAGCACCTCAGCTGGTCATGATTCTTTACCTGGTGGGGTGACCCAAACCTTCATTCCTGAAGGGTCTGGGCTATTAGTAGTCCTGTCTGGATTGGGTTATTTTGTGCTGACCTTAATTACAGGGCATGGTAATATTAAGGATGCCCTCAGGGATCTCCTTATTCCACACATACTCTTCCTTACCTTCGTTGTGGAGTAGTAATCCAAATACCCCTTGGTAGTTAGGATCAGTCACCCCAGTCAACACCGTAACTAACTCCCTTATTGGATGATTGAATCAGATGTATAAGGAGCTCAAAGTGGCTAGGTCTTAACTTCCAATTCAATGGAATCACTGTTATGTGTGCTGGTAGAAGCATTCCTCCTTCTGAAACTAAGACCTCTAGGCTAGCAGCACATAAATTTGCAGGAACAGGAAGCAAACTTTGCTAGTGGGTCACTGGGGGTAATTATGAGTGGTAACACTCCGATTTCCAGCCACTGATTCCTGGACCCATGAATTCTGGTTATGGGAGAAATAGCATTTCTGGCCTTCTGGAGAACCTTGCCCCAACCCTGCAAGGTATTGCCTCCTAGCTGAGTAACTGAGTCTTCAAAAGGCCACTCTACCAATTTATTAAACCAGCTGATTGAGGATGTTAGGGAATAGGGTAAGGCTAGGGATTTCCATGGGCATGAGCCCAATGCAGCTCTTCTTTGCCAGTAAGGTGAGTTCCTGGTTAGAGGCAATGCTGTATGCAATACCATAGTTTTGGCAGAAAAACTGTGCAGGGAAGGCACATCTGTTTCCAGAGAAAGTGCC